CGCGTAGGAAAACATCTAATTTATGTGTGATGCTGCCCGTCCACATATTGCGGAGAAAACCCTGCAACACTTTCTGGAAATGGATTGGCATGTTCCAGTTTACCCAGCGTAATCATCAGATTCTGCATTACGTGATCATCTTCTGTTTCTGTCGCAACAAAATCCTTTGAAAGATTGGAAGCTGTACAACCGGAACATATCCAAAAAAGCCTTTGTAAATTTTTCATTTCAAGATCTCAAACAGTCGAAGATCTCAAACAGTCTACAGGAGAGGCAGCTACGAGTTATGAAATAAGTCAATAACGATATGTTAGGGGAATATTGGTTGTATTAGAGAGAACAAAATATTAATGATAAAAATCGATTTTCTCCGAAATGGGTAGCCACTTTTCCGACAGCACAATATTATGCGCAGCAATAAGCTACACATAGTATCGACCATTACAAAAAAAGGAAGGAGAATTCACTAGAAGGTAGCATGCTTTTTGGTATGGCTCAGCTGCTTACTGAGATCATGTTGTACTATTTTTGACTGTATTGAACTGGTTCCGAGGCCAAGTTTAGAACTATTCCATCATGCGACACCGTTACTAGGTGTGTGGTCCAGAAATGAAGTCCTGAACTGTTACTACAATCAGACTTGCAGGCGAGAGAGAGCTCCGCAATGACGTTAGTATCAAATGGTCCCCGCCACTCGTTGTACTGTACTTGAATAAATTTTGAATGTTATGTGCAAACATCCCTGAATGTTGATGAAAGGCCAAAAATCAAGCTCTTCTCTATAAGTTTACTGTTGGCCAATTGGATGTATTTAACTACTCCCGTAGCGAAGAATTCGTTTGTGATCACAAAAGTGCTTTTCGCTATTCACCTCTACCACCGGATATCCCTCTGATCATTGTTTTCTTCAAGCACCAGTGACGCATCCATTCGACCCTACCTCGAACCAGAGTGGTCTAGTGGGACATCTTGCTAGAGGGATACGGGTCAGAGCATTCTTTTCCTCAACAGCTTTTGTGAAGAATCCTTTGCATGGCGCTGGCGGCCGTTCTAGTGTTCGTTTGACGTCCCGTGAGAGTCAGTACTCGTACTGGTCTGACGGTTCGATCGCGTAAGGTGTTCGGTCCATCTGATATTCGATTTTTTGCGTAAACAACGACATTACTGATCTTTGTTCGTTGACGGAGCCCGGGATTCCGGTCTCTTCTGCACTTGCGTGTATAGAAATAGAAATCCCGAACAATGTATATAGAAATCCCGAACATCGTCCTTCCCACAGCGCGCTGCATGACGTTGGCTGCATTTCGTGGAGTCCAAGCCGACTTTCCGAAGCCTACGTCAAAGCAGGAAGGCCCGCAGTATCGAAAAGGTGAGCGATGAGCCGGATGTTCTTTTTCTTATTCACTACTCCCTCGATACTCTTATGTGCCCCCTACGCGACGCGTTTTCTTCTGCACAGCTCCGGAGCTGAATCGTTCATCATGCTGACTTCCCGACCTAGGTACACAAGGCTAGAGCATTCGGAGATATTTTCAGCGTTAAGGGAGCATCAGGTACCAATCCATTTCTCATGAAAATCGTCTTCCCTGAATTCAGTCTCAAGCCGAACTTCCCGCAATCACAGTCAAACTCGGCATTCGGCATCCGTTCTCCTGCTCGATGTTCGTTGTTATGAGCACGTTGTTTGCAAAGCGGAGATGATGGAGATAGCCTTAAGTAGTACTCACAAATAAAAACTCCATTATCAAATGTCTTTTTCAATGGAGCTTCGTTTTTCTGCTGGCATATCATTAGATGAGAATCGGAGATTATTTGCGGCCGGGTAAGTTTTGCGAGAATGATAACGAAGCAAAGAAAAACCGTGATCTTTCATTGGGTCACAAATTTCGCTGGGTAGCGGTCGTAATAACATGAAATAGACCAATTTCAATCTACCTATAATTTAGTACCCTTAATTGGTTCCTATCATTGAACTTTCCCTTTTTGTCAAATGAAACATATCGAGTCAATGTTCGATCGTATACAACAAATGCGTTAAGATTTAATTGGTAAGTGCGTTCTTACCCTCTTCTTTCGTCAGTGATCCCATCCTACCTCTTCTACTCTTACCAATTTGAAGCTTTCCGAGTTCACAAGAGTACTAATTATGGATTTCCGCTTAAACACTTATTTACCCGCTTATTCAAACCCCGCCCCTTGTGGGTGGAGTTCGATCCTGCCACCTAAGGTAAGTGGTCCCATCCTACCACGTGTACTCCTTCCAAATTCGAATGCTCTAGGTCAACGTGGAAAGGAGTTATGATTTTCCGCTCAAACGTTTATCTCACACAAACCCCGCCCTTAAGGAGTTATGAACTTCTTGTCGGGCACACACATTTACACACAATCACATAGACATTAGCGCGTCATATGTGTACCGGTCGGGCCGCCCGGCTAACGCCAGGCTTCCCTCCTTATGGTGTCGCCCGGCTTCGCCTGGCGGTCCTTCCTGTAAGAAATTGGCTATGCGAAAATAACTCTACGGATTCTCCTTTTTCCTTGAAAGCTCTACACCCCCAGTATTAGCTCCGAATATTGAGCGGTTTTTTCTGTAAGCCATCTTCGTTGTGTCCGGTAAGAACATCGTATAATATCACAAAGGCGATTATTCAGAGAAAAAAGGGCAGGTGGGGCTACGGAAGCGTACCTCGGTGAAATTTTCGTGTAATTGGAATACTTTGAACGCCCCATGGCCAAATTGTCAATTTTCGCGCCAACCCCGCCCCTGTGGGTGAGGTTCTTTCCCGCCACCTATTACTAAGTGTTCTTATCCTATCGCCTGTACTCCTACCAAGTTTAAACGCTCTAGGGCCAGATTGACAATTATCGCGCAATCCCAGCCCCTCTATTGGCGATGTCTGGTCCTGCCACCTACAGTGAGTGTTCCCATCCTGTTTCTATAACTCCTAACAAACTTGAACGTTCTAGGTCCACGGGGACAGATGTTATCAACTTTCGCTCATACTCCGTCCATTGTAGGCGGAGTCTGGTCCTGCCACCTACCATAAGCGTTCTGATCCTGCCGCCCGTACTACATCTGAGTTTAAGTGCTCTAGGTTCACGGAGACAAGAGTTCTGAATTTTCGCTCTAAAATTTATTTCACACAAACCCCGCCCCCTGAGCCAGGTCCTGCCAACCACTCAGAGTGTTCCCATCCTGCCGCCTGTACTCCTACTAAATTTGAACGCTTTCGGTCCACGAGTAAAGGAGTTATGAATTTCCGGTCAGATACACACACATACACACAAACACACCAACAGACACTTTTAGCCGATTATATAAGTAGGATTATTATTCCCTTCAACCTAACATTGGTTTTCCCATCTTGCCACCTACTTCTCTGCCGAATTTGAACGACCCAGGTCCAATTTGACTGTTTTTGATGAAGCACCGCCTCCAGTGGGAGGAGTCCACACCTGTCACCTGCCATTAGTTTTCCCATTTTGCCAACTTCATCTCTGCCAAATTTGAACGACCCAGGTCCAATTTGACTGTTTTTGAGGACGCCCTGCCCCACAGTGGGCGGAAACTACACCTGTCACATTCCATTAGTTTTCCCATCTTGCCACCTACATCTCTGGCAAATTCGAATACTCTAGGCTCAGGAGCGAAGGATCAGATTTCCAGTGAACTGCACTATTCGCGCAAGCCCCGCCCTTAGTGGGCGGAGCCTAGCTTAGGTCACGTGTATCTAAGGAGTTCGGCTCATTCCCCACTTGTTCATCCCCTATCCCCACTTGTTCCAATCTGTGAGCTGTTCCATTTGATTTCCAAACGACACCGTATAAGATAGTCACAGTGAAACAGACAAACAAACCTACAAAAAAAGCAGAAAACGGGCATTTGTGGCTTATATATAGTAAGGATAGTATGATTGTGTGTCTTGTGTGTTTTGCGCGTTATATGTAGGATGTTTTCCGTTACAGCTGCCCGATGAAAAACAAACCGACCGTCTCCAAAATATCGGACTTGCCCATTCAATACAGATCTCGTCTGCAGCGTTAAGATAAAAGAAGCGACTCTAAGAGCGCGCGGAGAATAGCCGGTGCATATTAAAGCGCTCCGCTACCAGTATGTTTCTTATACCATCGACAAGTTCATTCTTAAGCCAATCTTTCCATAAGCGCTGTCGAATCGTCCTGCGTTCCTTACGCTTGCTCGATGTTCGTTATTGTAAAACGATGTAACGCAAAAGGAGGTCGTCTGGTCTGCAAAGCTGAGATGATGTAAATATCCTTCTCTCTCGAGTTTTCCCATTCCAAACGACGCATGATTTCTCGAGAGCGGCACTGAAAGCTCTGCACAACTACTCTCTTCGCCTAAACAATAACTCTCATAAAGAACGGCGAAATCTAGCTCGCGCACTTTCGTAGAGTTACGAAGCATTTTATATATTGAGTAAGAACAAACTCGTTCCCGAAGGCTTCAATACCCTTCGAACTGACGGTATCGGTAGCCTTCTTCATATCGGTGAACGTCAGGCATAGTGACATCTGCTTCTTCATTGTCGAAGAATCTAATATCTTGTTCGAAGAATCCAATAATGCTTGTGGCAGTGTGGATGCGATCGATTCTACTGATCCTTCTCCGGAACCGTGCTAGCTTGGATGACTGTCTTTCATGTCCTGTCGTCTTTCATTTAATATTCTGAATTAGATGGATTTCGATCTGTTATATATTTATTAGTATAATAATAAATATATAACTTGGTATGATTCGATGTGTTTTGTATTGTAACTGATAGTGACTATTGTATGCAGCAATGTATTGTAACTAATTAAGGTCTGACGAAGGCATTATATGCCGAAAGCTCACCAATAAAAGTGAAGAGCAAAGAGCTTCGAAAAGTACACAAAACGACAACAAAATGAAGCTCAGAGATAGCAGTATTTTGAAGTATAATAATAGTAAATTAGGAAGGAAAACCTTCTTAACTTTTTTTTCCTAAATTATTTTCAGGATGCTGGAAGAAGAAAAGCAACGAAGCGAACATATGGAACGAGTTCTGGTGGAGCTACAGCATAAGCTTGGCCATCGCCTAGACACCGTACTGGAAGACGTGGTGGATGAAAGGTCGGAAGAAACTGAATTCGACGAAGTTGTCGATTTGAAGGAAAATGACCTCGACAGAAATGGACGAAACGGTGGCAAAGGCAATGGCTTTGACGAAGCCGAGCTGCATAATGGTTGTATTGACGACGAGGAGGAGCCAGACGATTCGGAGGGATGGAAAAAAGACGATTTTCTTATGGTTTCCACCCAATCGATTTGATTATAACAGTATTTTGTGCACTAGAGATGGACACGAACGTGGAAGCTGAGATCCGGTGACTCCGGAAATTAGTCGAATTTCATGTGTCAAACTGAAGGAAATTTCCAGTTAGCTTTTTGATGTTGAGATTCTTTAGGTCCCTCATGCGCCGAATGTTATCAAAATTGTATAACAATAGTTTCATCTTTAATTTATCCTTATATGACCACTCGTTGAGCAACTTTACCCTGATCTTCGCCGAATTCTCCCAATCGTTATTTCAACCCTAAAGTTGGCCAACCTTTCTAGAAGGTATTGCCTTCGGATGGCTTATATATAAAACCCTCAAGTGAAATCTGTAGCCAATCAGGGAGGACCTGTTACTAGACTGTTCTTCCCAATGCGAGCGGTCGCCACGCGGCTGGTGCGCAACGCATTGGCTGCTTTCGTAGTCCACGACCAGTCGCTCGCGAGATGGGTCCGCGACCAGTCGCGCGACTGGTCGCTCGCAAAATCGTGGACTATGAAAGATGCCATTGCGTAAATACGCTTTGAAAATGCCGTCCAGCTCCTCTTACGCTCATAAACACTTATTTATACCGTCTTCTTAACTTCGTATGAATAAAAATCCCATTTCAACCTAATGACTCACAGCAACTTTTTAGCACTTGGGATATTATTTACTGTTTTTGCGCAAAATTGCGTATCCTCGGGATCAGTTTTCATTTCCTCCTTAGCACCATGCTAGTCAAATCTGCCGGTAAGTTCAATGAATTTTGGATTGAAAATAAACTACTTAAAGAGACTACACGATGTATGTATATATATTGACTTTTCGCAACTTTGCTCGAAGTACTCTTGCGCGCGGACTTGCCTCTAAGCTCTAATCGACTATCGTAACATTGCAGCCAAATTAAACTGTCATAGCAACGTTCCATCAACTTGTTTGCATGTGCGATTTGTTTCAGTATTTTACACTATTTTTTGGTTGAGGTATTATCTTTTTTGCAAATAAAAGCTCAGATTGCTTAAGATTGTTACACAAGTAAAAACACACACAAATCGTAACAGAACGAACGTAGCGTAAAAACCCGTCCACATAGTTTCCAACATCTCTCCTGCTTTAACCTAGGCATTATCGTTCGTGTCGTTGAAAACGCTTTGCAGAAACGAACCATAAGAAAAGAAGAAGTCTCTCAAATGAATCGATGCCTTGACACGGCCACCTCTCATTGATCAGGAATTGATGATCGAGCTCAAATGACAGAGACCCTTTTCCAGCCGATTTGACTTTCATAACCAATTTTTCAGAATTCTTATCCTCTCGAGAGGCTAAATCATGAACGTGGAAAGCGCCACGTATGTGACTCCATTTTGAAACTGTGGGATTGTTCGGAAAAAGCTGAATTCTAAAGACTTCTATATGTATATTGTGACACTACGCTGTTTATATATAATATAATATATATATATATGTTGCAATTATTCCTTTTTGCCTGCTGTGAATGTGAACACTGTCACGTACTCTGGCCAACTGCCCCACTGTCATCTACAGTCGTCCTCCTTCGCTTGTTTCATTTAGTAGGTATTCGGACGTGTAGTAAATGGAGCTGTGTCGAACCGTTCACTGCACGTTCGAATTCATCAGTTGTTGCCCATTAGTCGCACCCTGTCGCATACTTTTTGCTGCACTCGCGCAATGAAGTATTGGGTTTTAACATAAGTTCGTGGAGTTTTGCGTTAGAGTTATTTTACAACGATTTATTTTGTTTTTTAGCAAACTGTATGCATTCATTTGAAAGAGCCCTTTCTCCTCTACAAAACTGTTTTATTCGTTTTTAGGATAATTAAATTGTTCGTCTATTTTCGGGTTCAAAAATGGAATATCCAGGAAGAAAAAATTAGCATTTTCGACATCTGCTTTTCTTTGCTTTTCGTCGGGGTCAAAAAAGCAGCCGAAACCGCTCGGGTGTCTACTGAAAGGTGTGGGTGGCCCCAGGGAAGGCGCCAAAGCCAAGAGTCAAGCAAGATCTTCACCCAAAAAAAGGTCATGATCTGCGTTTGGTGGGACTGGGTAGGCATGGTGCACTGGGAAACTGCTCGAACGAAATGCCACTGTCAACAAGGAGGTCTAAATTACCCAGCTAAACAGTGTAAATGAGGCTATTCGGCTGAAAAAACCTTATAGGGGTGGTCAAGTCATCTTGCTCCACGACAACACCAGGCCCCATATTGCTCAAGTCGTCAAAACAGCACTCCAAGAGCTTGAATGGGAGGTTCTTCAGCATCCACCGCACTCTCCGGATCTTGCACCTGCCGACTATCACCTTGTCCGCTCTATGTTATACCCAATAAGGGGAGTTACCTTCGATGGCGAAGGGGACCTTAAAAGCCGGCTCAACAAATTCTTCGACACCACAACGGCCGATTTTCGGCGAATCGCCATCAACAAATTGGTCGAAAGATGGGAAGAGGTCGTGAACAGTAACGGAAGATACATCATTTGTTAATTTATTATTATAATTGTCGTTTTTTGGTTCAAAGAAATCTTTGTGAAAAAACCCTACGAACTTATGTTACAACCCAATAGTAAACGCTATATACTACGTCTAGCATTAATTCCCTAGTCCATGTGGCTGCAGTCGACACTAGCCCTTTTCAGCCAACCCGAGAACCACTCTGCGACCTAGCACTAGTGTCGCTTCGCTCAGTCTTTGCTTCCCACCATCTTTCGAAGAACTACCGTACGTCCACCGGGGTCCTGCTTCTTCTACTTCGCGCTCGGCGATCACAAATCGCTGCTAGTGGTGGAAATAGGTAATAGGTAGTAGGTGTAGATAGTAGGCAGTGGGTAATAGGTACTAGAATTAGAAGTAGAGTCAGAAGACAAAGTTGTCCTCCTTCTCCTTCTATTGTGCGTGCCATCACAAAGAGAAGGTATCAATTTTCTACGATTTTTTACGTCACGTAGATGTTTATTGCTATCGTCGAAACAGTTCTTCCCTACCAGATTCATAAACGAAAAGAAAAGTATTGACAATCTGGTTTTTCTACAATCAAGCAATAGATACATTCTTTTATTGAGATTCAACTGGTTAGCATCTCTATGAAGAAGGATCGACGATCAGTCAGCAGTCAAGGCATCAATTCATTCGGAAGACTTCTTTTCTTCCCATAGCTCGTTTGAGCAAAGCGTCTTCAGACTCTGCCTATTCGAACTTCTTCTGTTTCGAGCTTTACTCCTCTAAAAATAGAAGTTCAATTAGCCATTTTATAAAGTTAACCATGAATAACGTATGGGAGCCAAAAGTTGTCTCATAATTATGGAATAAAAGCTCAGTATTTGCATGATTTGCGGTGGGTCCCAGGTGTAAATAGAAAACAGCACTGGCGATAAGATGCTGCCTTGCGGAACTCCGCTCGGAGCTAATCTGGTAGTGGAAAAACTATTCATGACCTGAACTTGAAACGAGCGGCATCGTAAAAAGTATTCCATCCATGAGACAATCCTTGAACGTAAGCCGATATGATTCAACTTGAGTAAGAGTTCGGTATGATTTACTGTTCTTTACTATAATTTTCTTGTTTTTCTTTTCGAAGGCTTCAGCATAATTGAGATAAATCACATTACCCTCCTTTTTCTTATAAAATGGGGTAGTCCAGTCATTAAGGGCTTCAACCATATGCATTACTGTTGATCTTGCGCTTCAATTTTATCCATCGCATATTTGTTTTTGGGTTTTTTCTAAGGGGAGGGTGGTATACTGGAGGGCGGGCGCTGTGACACATGCATGGTGTAAGATATGGTTCGAATAATATACATTAGGTCCCAATTAAGCTATTTTTTGAAAGAATCTAAATCATGTTTTGAAATCTTAATCTCCAAGGCGAAACTGACCCCAGATCATTGAAAAGTTGGTTAGTGATGCCGTTGGACCCCAGATTATGTGCCGCACTGACTCCACCACCCATCGTGTTCTCATTATTCGGTGCCATGAAATGAAAATGAAAAGAGATGAAGGTGAAAAGGTAATACGAGCTGTGCTTTCCCTGATTCCACTTTTCCAGCCTCATTAAGCTCTTCTAGAGGTGACTCCATTTTGAGTGACGATGGATGTTTGGCCATGGTTACAGTCAGAGCCTGATTGAGTTAAGAATCATAAATAGTCTAAGTTCACAAAAAGCTTCCTCAATCAAGTTGAATTCTGAGAAGTTGGTTGGCCTATGTACACCGCAAAGGGGAAGACTAATCTGCAGACAACTGTGCCAGAGAAGTCCTGCCAAATATGCTGAACAGCTGTTTCTTCAACAAGGTCCAGAATGCGAAATTTTCCGAACGAACATACAAAAAGACAACAATCGATAAGTTCTGTAGCCTTAATTAGGCGAAAATTGATCAGAAACTAGACATATACTTGCACAAATATTTGAAGCTTACCAGTTCGTTTCACCTCTCTCACTTACCCGAATCACTTCGTTTTTTGCAAACTCCGAGGCTCATCGGTGAATGAGGGTTGGCAAAAAACAATATATGTGCGCGTCAAAATTTTAGAAAACAATCAAACCCCAAATGGGAAAGAATGGAAGCCGAAAACGAATCAAAGTGAAGAAAAAGCATAGAATAGATGTGAAAAAAAGGTGAGGATTAGGCTGGAGAACTTGAAATCAAATAAAATACGCTAGAAATTTGGTGTCACTGAGAAAAGGAATTGTAATAATATATCAAACTATGTACACAAAATATATATAGCATATATAGGGTGGGCTAAAACTGTGATGACACAGTATCACATCCCCGAAAACGACTAGGAAGTTAGTAAAACAGTTCAAGAAAAGGCACCTATCACTAACCTCTTAAGGAAAGACTACATTGAAACTGAGATCTGTTGCTTTCTGCGTTCCCTCAACCCCGGAAACGACGATGGAAGACATCGACGTTGGCACGCAGCTAGGATCAACGAGCTGATACTAGCTGCATTTTGAAAGGCATATTTGAAGTCATTCCAGTTCTTGATTGAAATGACGATTGTTCCTATTTCCAAGGTTGACCACACAGAGACCTTCATGGGATTCAGATCAGGGCTCCTAAGTGGCCACTGATCGAAGCTTATAAAACCGGAAAACTCTTCCTACGGTATTCCTGGACAAGTTTTGATCTTCTGTCGGGAGTTCCAACTTGAAAATATGTCCGGTTTGACCAAAAGGTCTAATTGCACGCGGAAATATCAAGCAAGTTTCCAAATTAACTTAAACTTCTTAAGTTACAAAAATAATCGGTGTTTTTGATTTGGCGATGATGCTTCCAAAGGCGATCACAGAAAGACGACGCAAAGCCTGTTCTGGATCATCATGAATAATGAATTTTTAAGAGTACCTTCTTTACCGTGAATACGCTCTCGTCGATGACCCTATGACCAGTTCTTCGGAAACGGCGTAGCAGCTGTTGTGAACAGGCCTTTCTCTTCTCTTCAGCCTGTTCACTTGGTAAATCTTTTTGTGACTGGATGTAGGCTTTGTGGCTCACACTTTTTTCACGATTATGTGCAAAAGTTTTTTGAGATATCCAATCCCTCAGCCGTTTTGTGCGTAGAGTGATCCTCACCGCTACGCAGAACTTCGCCCTGCTTGCTTTACACTTCTCCTGGATGTAATCGCAGTTCTCTTAGATTTTTGAGTGTCAAAGATATGTGGACATTTGGATATGTCCCGTGCCAAAAGTACTTGCAAATGCAAAGTGATGATTGAGCACGGGGTAGTGACGCTCCCACTCTTTTTAAAATCTGTCAAAAGTTCAGTATTACCAGGAAGGAAATAAGATGATCCACCTCGTGAATGGAAGCGAAAGAATGAAGTGTTATGAACAGAAGAAAATTAGTATGAGCGTCAGCGTGCGCTGTCGTCATAGTTTTGCATATTTGTTGCGACAGATTTCGTTCTCAATCAAGTAAATGCCTCATCCCTCCTTGATTGATTGATTGTTCTTCGGAGAACCAAGGTTAACCGTATACAACTAGCGTTGTGCAGGGTTGGAGGATTGTTGAGAGGTTTAATCGGAATCAATTATAACTAAACATTTCACTGCATTGCAATCTTTGAAAAAACGAAATAACCATACAGCAGTCGAATCTAGAGAACCGGTTCGAATTGAATGTATTGACCCATCTATTTCGAAAAAAAAAGATTGCTTCACTGTTGCGTAGCGACTGTACAGACTTGTGGCCTCACAAACTCTGTCAGTACACCGTCCCCATACGATAACCTTTTCCCGGATAGCAACGATCCAAGCAGGCTTGCGTAAAGCAGCACACCTGAAGTCAATAAGTATTTGTTGTTCTTTCCAGTTCTATTCAAATGTACTTATGGGTCTTCGTGTCAAGTACCTAATCAAGGAGGCTATGTTTATAAAGGTGACAGAGAAGACGCGCTGTTGCGCCGCATCTTTGCAATAAGCGGTGCAAAGCGGAATGGCGTTGGTTTGCTAATTTTACAGTGTTACACTCATTACGGTCTGGATATGGTTTGCATTTATGAATCGACAAATCTGATCCCAATCTGTTTAGAGTGACGGTCGCAACCGCGCGCGGCTGCTCTAGTATTCTGTGAACGAAGGAGCGTCTAGACGGTTCACTTTTTCGCTCTTTGTTTATCACTCAGCTTAGGACACTCCTTCCTCTCCAACACCCACGTTTAGACTACGAACCATGTAAAAAACAGAAGTTGTACCTTGTCTTTGGGAAATTCCCTTGAATTACATCCACCCTTGCTGGCACAGCACGATGCCTCGAAGGAGTGAGCTGGAACAGCAGATTGGTATCAATTGATTTACGCTTAAGTTCGCACTCACCATTGCTCGTAAGACATGTGTTGGGCTCTCCGGGATACTTGCAAAACATTTCCTTATATTTTTGAAACTTGTCGCATGACGCAACTGTTCTGGCTAGAGCACAAACAACCAGGGCGAGCCCCAAAGATTTCATCACCTGAAAGAGGATGAGTTATGAGCGTAGTCACAGAAAGTACCAGTAGATCAAGGTTCAGCTGGAGACGAAGAGGACGCTTGCATAGAACCTTAAATATTCATTTTGAGAAAATCGATTAGTTTTGGTCCGGTTAGAGGCACAGAGGTAAAGCATAAAGGATAGTTTTTGGCGCCAATCAATCCCGTCTGCGTGATGCGCCACCGCACTCGAGTTCCACTCACAATCGTAGTGTATGTAATGTAATGAGGGCGTATGTGGCCTGTACAATGACTTGCGGTGGCCAGCCGATGTACAAGTCAGGGCTTTTATCCTCCCAAGTTCATCCCAGAGACACAGAGGTGTGTTACGGAATTCAGCTGTATTACCTGCCGTCCCGTTGATCGTCGAATCCCTCGCCAGTAACATCTCCATTCGTCCTTGTCGCAAGCCGGAGTAGTCCAGTGAATCATACTAGCTCGAGGGACATGGGGCAAGACACTCCTTTTGTTCAGAGCCTTTGTGAAAAAGCCTGACCATCGGGACGGCTGTCGTCCTGGTGTTCGCTTGACGTTCCGAGGGATCTAGTCCGTAACCGCTCTAATCCGGCGGTCATCACTGTATCGCATGTCGTGCCCTGCCAGTCTGATTTTCGATTTCCGATGTAATCGATGGCATCCCTGACCTTCGTTCGTCGACGGGGCTTAGAATTCCGGATTCCCTCCTGCGCTTGCGTGTATTGGGAAATTCCGAGCAACAGCGTTGAACGGCGCTAACAGCATGTTTATCTTGCTCTCGCAGAGTCAAATTCTCCAAAGCTCACGTCAAAATAGGATGGCCGCACTCTCGAAAAGATGAGCGCGGAACTTGTGTTCTTTATCATCTTCACTACTCCCTCGACGTTCTCAAATGCTCTTCACGCCACGCGTTTTCTTCTGCTCAGCTCCAGTGCTAGTCGTTCATCATGTTGACTTTCCGACCTATATGCACATAACTAGTGGGTTCAGAGAAATTCGTTGAGTTCAGCGTGAAAGGAGCATAGGGTACTAATCCGCTCCGCATGAGCACCGTCTTCGTTGGGTTTAGCCGTAATTCGATCTTTCTACAAGCGTTGTCGAATTCGGCCATAATTTGTTCCGCCTGCTCGATGTTGGGTGTTATAAGCACGATATCATCTGCGAAGCGGAGATGATGTAAGCAGTGGCCGTCGACCTCCACTCCCATTCACTCCCCTTCCATATGACGTATGATGTTCAGAGGGCACTGGAAAGTTGGGCGAGATAGTATTGCCTTGTCGAACCCCTCTCTTCACGTTGATGATGACTTCTTTAAAGAGTGACGAGATCCTGGTCGTGAAGTTGTTGTTGAGTCCACGAGGTATCTTCACGCATTGAATAAAACATCCTGTTTGCCCAGAGCTTCGAGTCTCCTCTGTCTCGACGGTACCAAAGGCCTTCTTCAAATCGATGAGCGTAAGACATAATGGCGTTCTGTACTCGCGATCCTCCAGTGAGTCTTGTAACGATGTGGATGTGATCGATTGTAATGAACCCTCTCAGAAATCCTGCATGATCGCATGGCTGCCCTTCATATAATGTCCTGCCAATCCTGTTAAGGATGGCTCGTGTGGAAAGTTTAGAGATTAAATAATTGCCGATGTCTTCTGGATCTCCCCTCTCATACAACAACACGGTCTTGCTAAATTTCCACGAAGTGGACACTATGCATTCCAGGTAACGCGCGAAGGGCATAGCCAGAGTTCTAAAGGCAACTGCTGAAAGACTCTTTAGATGTTCTGCTTTGATCATGTCGGGACCGGGTATCATCGGATCGGTTCCTCATCGACGTCATGATATTAATTAATTAATTAATTAATTAATTAATTTATCTATTTATTTATTTATTTATTTATTGCACAGGCGTGCGCCAATGAACAGAAACTACTTATACAGATTGAGAAAAAGAACATTCAAACAGCAAGTGGACACAAAAAAGTCAAAAAGCAGTAGCAGGGAAGAGGAAATGTAGGTAACAATAAAACGCTTCCGCAGACACACTTAGAACGCCAATGCCCGAACTATGGAAAAATCATTCAAGAAGAAAAGACCTTGAGCCAGGAGTGCCAACTCATGCCCCAAGCATGGTGAATCCCGGAGAGCTCACAATTAAACACTAAGCCACACATGAGCACCCACATTTTGTATCAGGAAGTGTGTGGGATGCTAAGATGGAGTCATCACACTATATGAAATAGGCGAGAGTAGAAGAGCAGATGAGTGCAGGTCAGCCTAGGCAACGCAACTAATCGAGGTTATTCCGGGGCGGGCCAAGTAGGTACCTCTTTGATCTAAATACGAACCCCACGCGTAAGACCTAGGCCCAAGCGACGAGTCATAAAGATCAAGCCACTTGTTGACCTGCACCCTGGACTCTCGTCATAATAGGCAAGTGCATTGTGGATAGTGGCTATGTAGAGCAAAATAACAGAGTGAGCACAAAGTATTATAGCTATGGCAGAGCAGCACTCAAGACAACGGCAACTACAATTATAAAGAAAAGGAAGAAATTCGTGGCTAGCGCGAGTAAGTGCGGATCTGCGGATGCAAAACGACCTGAATAGTCAGATGACCATAACAATGAATGCTAGAGGACGAGAAACATTGAAGTCATTAGCAGGCTGATCTTGACGAACACCACAGTACAGCTCAGCAACGTAAACAACATGACCCATCAGAAGGTAGGAAACTGAAAAAGAGGAGCTGAAAATCATCACTGGGCAACTCCGAGGACTTGGCCAAGATTCACCTTTTGCAACCTTCTTTTGAACGTGGCACTATTACCAACCGCTATGACATCAAGAGGCAACAGATTAAACCAACTAGCGCATCGGTTAAAGATATTATTAACGGCTGGCGCACGGTATCTGGCATCCGAAATTGAACAGTAAAGATTAAACCTACCTCGCCTCGTACCAGTGGGTCTAAAGATCCAGTACTTGCTGGCACGTAGCTTCAACTCACAGCGCAGAATATGAAAACAAAAAACTAAGTCAGAGATTGCACGTCTATATTGCAGAGAATGAAGCCCAAACAACTTGAGTCGCGCATCATAACTGGGTAAATGATTACGATGGCAAGCATTTCTATACCACAGGAGACGCGTGAAAACACGCTGGACCCTTTCAATTTTTGAGACACTTTTCTTGGTAGATGGGCTCCACACCTGTGAGCAATATTCGACATGCGACAAGATGCAAGCTGTCGAAGGCGTTTTAGCAATGTCACATCAGAAGACTGTACATTACGAAACAAGGCGAATAAATTCCTGAACGCCTTCTCCACCGCTTGCTCAATATGAAGGGAGAACTTAAACTTTGAATCAAAAGACACGCCAAGATCTTTGATGGATTGGCAAGCTGCAAGCCGAGCATCATTTACGAGGTAGGCAGTTGCCTGGGAGTCGCCAAAATGCATGGTCATGGATTTGTTCAAATTGAGAGGAATGTCACAGTGTTCAGCCCAGTCAGGCATTTTCTGAAGAGATACCCTCACAGCGTCTCGAATCGCCCCACAGTTATCCTGATTGTAGATCGCATATATCTTGATATCATCGGCATACATTTGTATATGGATATCCGAGGATGTCTTGAGAAGGTTAGGTAAGTCCATTGTGTAAATCAGAAATAGAGTAGGTGACAGAACACCCCCCTGCGGAACACCACTCAGACAGGGAAACCTATTCGTAAAACCACATTTAAGTCTGACTGTAAAATATCTGCTGTGTAAGTAGGATCTTAACCAAGCTAAAAGTTTGCCACGAATACCAATTTTTTCCAGTTTGGCTAGCAGTTTAACGTGGGAGATTTTGTCAAACGCTTTGGACAAGTCGAAGTAGACCATGTCAACTGACTTGCCTGAATTAAGAGCTTTGCAAAGGTCAAATAATGTATCAGAAAGATTAGAGGTGGTTGAGGATCTGGAAACGAAGCCGTGTTGTCTGATGGAATGAGGTGGTATCTTGAGAGCTAGGCCAGTAGTCTTTCATTCACTATTTTTTCCATCACTTTGATAGGAGTCGGTATGTATAATAGATATGTCGAATTTCGGAAGGGAGAATTGAAGGGAAGACGTATCCGTTTTGCCTAAGATGATCGGTAGGCAGGTAGACGCGGCTGTCAAAGAGATCCGAGTGGCAGTTGTAGATGACCTTCTCCATTGTCCTCTGAGATGCAGTAACTGTTCCCCAGGACGACGAAGGGAATTTATTTCGGTCTTGTAATTGGCGAAGACCCATTGAGCCTTACGGATGCCCTTTCCGGCCACGGCGGCTTGGTTCATTACTGCTGCTTTTCTCTTTTTTAGATCTGTCTTTATCCCTTCACTGCGTAGCTTCGCACGTTCGGACGTTTATTGATGACCGCCTGCACCTCACGCGATTTCATGCTGGCATGTCAGCTCGAGAGTCTTCGAAGAGAGACGCTCCTTGGCATACTTGAGACTCTCGGCTTTCCTGGCGCTCCCGTGAACATGTTCGACGTTTTGTATTCTTTTCAAAGTTGACGCTGACGGAATCCCCCCACAAACCCGCCAATGAAACGAAGCGATCACAGCTGACAACAGAGCTTCGTCTCCTGAACATCGCAACTCTCTGTCCATGCAATGGATGCCAGTGCGTGTTGACGAGGAGACCTACCGCAGTCGCATGTTCCGAAGAATAGCTCTTCTCCAATTTGGAAGACGGCGGACAACGAGCGGTTCCCTCTTGCCTCGGTCAATCCGGTGACGTCGTACTTGATCTTCCTGGCTTGCATCATCAGATCTTCTGCACGTTTCCGATGCAAGCGTTCGTGCATTGAAAGTACATCATCGTCATGGGAATCATTCTCCTTTTAGGCAGCTTTTGGTGGCAATGAGATTTTAGCAGCATCTGCCGAGCGGTATCGGCCCCGATGCCGCCGTATTGATAGCTCTCTCAGCTCCAGAGGGATGGAGCCCATTTTTGTTACTGTTTTTGGCATATGAATTACCAAGCGTAGCTTGCTAGCCCTAATACCTGTGGAGGGGGATACACTGTTAGCCGTGAGGACACGCAGATGTGCCGTTAAAGTTATATTCTTATGGCAAAAATCCATCGAACATTAGAAAAAAGGCGAGAGGTTTTGGACCATACAAGCCGACACCTGATTTTAAAAACGAAAGTACTCGGCAGAGCAACACGTTGCCTCCCTTTCGGTAGGGAGATGTTTCCCCGAGCGAGTCCTCGCCATTAGTCCACAACGCAGTGATTTAGACGTAATTTACCGGTGCTTGGGTGTGCAACTTAACGCGCTAAGAACGGATTCAGCCGCAATATCGGGCGGACGGAAAAGGGAGCTCAAGCAGTTGGACCGCCATCTTTCCAGTTCCTTGCAAATCTACCTAACCGCAACTTCGATCGCGATGCGGCAAGTCGGCCAAGATAAACTCCCGCATGGCTGAAGAGCACCGGAGCTTTGCATCAGAGAACATGATGAAATAGTGAAAAATTTATAAATCCTCTTTTACATAAGTGTGGTAGTGCGGATCCGCCCAATGCGTTACATCGATCCACAGCGTTGAGGTGGTAGGTCAGCGAGGGTTACGGATTTAAGGAAATCTAGAAGACCTCTGAAACCGGTTTCTAAACATTCGTCGCGAAGGGGCTCGAAAGAGTTTTCCAAAACAGTTGAATCAGCTGATCAAAGTAGGATTGCAAAGTGAATATCAATTCTAGTGGGAGGAACCTTGCAAGTGACAGAGTCTATAGCTTGTTGGCAATTCACAATGCTAAATATTAGTTTGGAGGGGAGAGGGAACTCCCTCCGCTAAACAGCTGGTCGCCTACCAGCATTCGTGATAACTCCCCGGATGCGTCCACCCAACACCGATAAACAGCTGCCCGTTTGATGATTGATAGTGGGACGCGAGTGGTTCGATGATTTGTGTATTTATATTCATATGTAAAGAATTTACAAGGCAGTGAATGGCACGAACGTAGCTGTTATAAATGTAAAGGTAATAAAGCGTAAATAGTAAAGATGTAAACGGCCAAGATTTAAACAAGTGAAGTCGTTTGCGGTAAGCTGAGGATCACGCCTTTTGGTGGTGCCGCCTGCTTGACCCCAGTATCAGTGATCGGCGTCCCTACAAACATAGAATGTCGTCTCAGGCTGCTAGAGCTACGAGGGATGAGGAACGTCGGCTCAAACGACGACACTCTCCTGGCGTGAGTGCACAGGGTGGGCCAAAATTATGATTACAGCGCGCGCTGACGTTCATTGCAAATTTTTTCTATATTCATGACAATTCATTGAATTTCTTCTATTTCACAAAGTAGCTTACGTTATTACCTTCCTGATGATACTAAGCTTTGGGTAGATTTTTAACATAATATAAGCGTAACTAGTCCGTGAATTAAACGTCGCTTTGCATTTACAAACACTTTTGGCACGGTGCATCTACAGACGAACTAGCGAAACAAGGCGGGTATTGCATTCAACCATAAGATGCTCTCGAGTGTTGGGAACAATTGCAGATAGGAGTGGTGAACCTAGGAGAGCTGTGGTTATATTTAGGGGAAGTGTTAAGGAAGCAAGGCAAAGGTCTACGTAGCAGCAAAATTCATTCTGAGCCCAAAAAGGCTAAATGAATGGATATGTCACGGAATTTTCTGCTTGAAATCGTGAAGCATCCTTGCACAACGTGACCGTCATAAGATCAGAAACTGATTTACCCAGGGAGCAGGTTAAAGAGAAGAGAAAGGTTGGCTAACAAAAGCTGCCTGTCGCATCCGAAAAAATTGTCCTACGGAATTCCTGTTCACCGACGAGAAAAGATTCACAGTGAAATAGGTGCTCAATAATAGAGCGATAACATTTATATGAAGCTTAAAGAAATGAAAGTGATACAGCGCCTGGCTCACTAACTTTCTGTGATGGCGTGTACCAGCATCACCGCCGGGGCAAAGACACCGATTATTTTTGTAAATTATGGAGTGGAAGTTGGCTCAGAGGCCTGTTTGTTCTCTTCATGCGCAATAGGACACTTTTATGATTCGAACCGGTTATATTGTCACGATGAAGCTCCTGACCGCAGAACAGAAATTGTCTAGAAATTTCGTGAAAGGGGTTCTTTGACTTCATAACCTTCGATCAGTGACCACTCTGGAGCCCTGACCTAAATCCCATGAATGTCTCAATGTGGTCAGCCTCTGAGATGAAAGCATCCTTTAGCCCAAACATGAGAAGAAATAATCTCGAAAATGCTTAGCAAAAAGCCGGGACCATTTCGATGACACTAGCTGCGTGCCACCGACAATGCCGTCCATCGCCGTCTTTGGGGTTGGATGAAAGCAGAAAGCAACAGATCCCAGTCTCAATGAACAGTTTTGATAAGAAATTTGTGCTGAACCCTTTAATGAAATTGGTTTGCTCTATTGGCTTTCTATTCGTTTTCTGCGATGTGATTTCTGTGTAATCATAATTTTGGCCCACCCTGTACATTTTAACTAGGACTTAAAAGAATATGATAATATAAAAAGGTATATAGACATGACAGCTCGACAGTTGTTTTTCTTGGTGAATGATGCGGTCGCATCGTAGCTGCTGTTACGGTTCACTGGCATCTGGCATTTGAGACGAAAGGGACATCATTGTGAAATAAAGAGAATTAGAATTATAATGAGGAAATCTTAGGGATGTGAGTGCATAACTCGCTTGTGCAGGGCAATCTGTACACCTGTCAACCTTTCAACGCTTGCATGGTTGTCAGTAATGATCAATTCAATGAAGTCTGCTGCCATTATAGGTGAGTTCAAAGGAAACCGCACCGTACGGCTGGCTCATTAGAGTCAATCCTGACAAATCCTGACAACGAATTAGATGTTACTGGTCTATCTTTGGGGTAATCCCTCCTTCGGGTTGGATCGATCTGGGCAGCGGGTAAATATTGGTCCCTCATCCGATGATCATCTAGATTAATCAGTCATAGTATTTATATAATATATACATATATGCCAGTTGGGCTATACACGCTAATGCGCGCACCACATGCCCACTACCGCTTACCTATGACTTGTTAGAGGACCAATATGAATAGTATCGGTTGACATCCCATTTCATGACTGCTTCCTCACCGTGCTCACGTGATCTTCACACTCTTCATCGTGCCTAAGTGACTTTCGGAAAGACGCATAAACCGACCCACAACAAACACCGATGCCTACGCCTTTGATAAGAGGTCTCCATCTGTCGGTGTTGATGTTAAAAATAATGACCAATTGAAGATTTAAGTGGTAGGCGTTCAAAGCCTTGAATGGTACTCGCAAATGTTGTTGAGTCATAATAATACCATTATCAAATGTCTTTATGAATGTAGCTCCTTTTATCTACGGATACATCATTAAATGAGGATCCAAGATTGCTAGCGGTCGGATATGTTTTGCCATGAATGATATCAAAGCAGAGAGAAACCGTGATCCTTTATTGAATCACATACTTCCCTGGGTAGCGGTCGTAAGCAAGAAGTGAACCAAAATTCATAATCGGTCCCTATCAGTGCACTTACCCTTCTTGTCGAATGTTACTTATCGTATCGTAAATAACAAAGGCGCTAGGATTCAATTTGTAATTGGAACTTGTTCTCTAAGGCCTTCGCTATCGTCACTGTACCCATCTTGCCCCTCTACTAATAATTTTGCTCTCCAAGTCCTCGGGATCAGGAGATATGGATTTTCGCTCAGACATTTATTTCGCAGAAACCCCGCCCCCAGTGAGTGGAATCCGGTCCTACTACCCACCACAAGTGTTCCCATCCTGCCGCCTATACTCCTGCCAACTTTGAACACCTAGGGCCAAGTTGACTATTTTGGCGCAAACCCTGCCCCCTGTGGCCCGATACTACCGCATACAATATGTGTTCCCACCCTGCCTCGGGTACTTTCTAATAAATTCGAACTTTCCAGGTTTACAGGGATAGGAGTTATGATTTTCCGCTGACACATTTATACGCCCAAACCCCGCCCTCCGTAGGCGGAGTCCGGTCTTGCCACCCTCCGAATGTGTTCCCATCCTGCCTCTTGTGCTCCTACCAAATTTGAAAGTCCTAGGTCCACGGGGACAGAAGTTATGAATTTCCGTACAATCAGACAGACGGACGGATGGACAGACAGACGCGAGCGCCTTATAAAGTAAAAAAGTTTTGCCCATGACATCACCCAATCCTGTGCATATCCCACCCTTGAAGGAGAAGCTTTGCTGAGCTCGAATGTGTTCTTTTGATCTTGCCCTATGCCCAACCCATCCAAAACTTGACCCGACTTATGCAGGTGCTTCCTAATGTATTACCGAACTTCTGTACGATGAGCGAACAAACAAACAATTAGACGCAAGCACTTCACATATGATGAGCTGTCGTATAGAAATTTGGAAGACCTTCATCTAGCTACTGAAATATAAGGAAGTGGATAATTCTTGGGCTCTGTGAGCGAAATTCACATCTAAAATTTTAATTTCGATTAGAATAGTTTTCTATGGGTTTCGATTACGTTTCCATAAGAAATCACGCTCACCGCGATACCGCAGGTATTCCGGTAAAAAACCTTCGTTAGCAAAAAGTTTGTTTGCCCACGAAGCTTATCCTCTCTCGACTCAGATTGCTGCGAACGGACAGATGAATCCTCCATGGAATAGGGATGTATTATAGCATGACGGTAAATAGCCAGGGCAACGTTTACTTTATCAGAATTAGGTGATATTTCCCAATTTGAACGATGCCGCTTTGCGGGTATTGATCTCTTGACACTAATAGGTGAATTGTTTCCATTCTAACCTCCACTAGTTCCTTGAGGGGTTTGATTCGAGGTAAAAACCACAACTCGCGTCGTGGGAGGCGGGTTGTAGTTTTTAATGTGTGACGTCATAAATAAATGCTAATGGGTACCACCATAATATCCACGTTAGTATCAGTATCAGTTCGTAATCACGTACCTTCGTGACTTTTGGGAAAACGCACAAACGGGCATACAAACAGACACACAAAGTTAGCGGTTTATATATAGAGGATATAGACATCGTATGCGTACGTATGTTTTTATAGCGTTAAAAACATGACTGGATAAATGTAGTTTCAAGCAGTTAGTTGGAGTGGAATATGATCAAAATCTGTTTCCTATCTAGCCGTTTTTCGAGTATGTAATCCGGAGAACAGCAATACAGCTATCAATCAAAGTGAGCTGTGCTAGTGTCTCGAAGATAACCCAACTACAGCCGCCCTACAGAGGCAGATAAGAGTACACCGTTGAACTAAATCTCTTCAATCTAATTACGAAGCTAAGCAGCTGGCTCGGGGTGCCGCAATAACAACTAGCTGATGTTTTTCGATATTCGAATTGCTTCATAAGAATTACTGTAAACTCCGTATGTAGCCAAAAGGATGCGAATGTGAGGGCGTCTCGTTCCTTAGTACGCGAGTGTTCAAGCCTGCCACGCGGATAACTAATACGCGACCAGTATAACTCGAGATTCCCTCAAGCACCAACAATTAGATAACAAGCTTTATCTAATGGTTAATAATGTATTAACATACACTTCGAAAAACTGTGGATGGCAGCAGAGATTACGAGCAGAGATTACGATTGATAGTACAATAGAGGTACAATAGAAAGTTCTACGTTCTTGCCCCCGCCCTATATAGCGATTTAGGGCACGTGACCCTTCGCGCGGGAAACGGTAGGACGGCTTGTAAGACGGCTTGCCGTCAAAATGGCTGGTGGTTGAACAGTTTTCTAGTACAGCCATCTACCTATTGTAGATGACTGTACCAGAAAGATCAACTTGATAGATTTTTGGCAATGGGAAATTTGCATGAAACTGTTTTATTACCCTTCTTTTTAGCTGATTAATCATGATCATCAACATGATCATTATTGAGGCGTTGGTGCACGCTGCCTGTTGCTCTGTTGCTCGGCTGACCCGACGCAAGCCGCTCTAGGTCGAATACTATGTTTCAGGGTTGTGGAACAGGAGAACTCAGAGCTGACTAAACTGATTATTCCGTGGTCAGTATGAACAAAGCAACCATTGGAGCTTCTAATCACGCGCTCAGACGAAAATAACGGTGAAGACGTCGCTCGTTATGCTTACGGGACCTTTTAAAGCCAGTTGTGCGTGTATTGAACGTAGGAGATCCAACTTGCTTTTGTACAGTCCACTAGCATATATTGGATTTCGTGGGGGATCGTCCTACGTGAGATCAAATATTGTCTTTGCAATATGAAGATCTGAAGGCGATTTCGCCGTGGATCCCTGACCCACCATTAAGTCACGGTAAAGGTCTAACCCCTATTAAAATGTGAAAAAGTTGGTGTTCTTTCGTAGTTTTGAGTTTGCCAGACAGATATTTTACCTTCAGGCCAAGAGGAAGATTCATTTCGATTAACTCGCTGATGGCTCTGGGGACGGAAATTCTCCTTGCTTTTGTCTCGATTTGGTTGCCAAGGATGGATTGACCCCTTTACTGTATGACCTTTCTTGACGTACAACGATACGTAATGGTTTTGACCACATCGCGTGCAGTTTGCTCTTTGGCATTAAAAACTGTTATGATTGGGTGGGCAACACTTCCAACACCTATTCTGATCCATTATTATTTTTCGGCGATGGCTTTGATCTACCACGATTGTACATGCAAGCGATAAGTGATTACCATTATGGCAAAAAAAAAACACTTATCGTTAATTTGGTAGCGCGAGTTGCCCATGACATGACCCAGCCTACCCTCGACGTATACAGGAACGAAAATTCAGTCCGGCACTCGGTTCTTACAGTAATCCGGCACGTGTTAATGCGCATATTTTTACCCGTCACATATACGACGCTTCGAAAAGGACACGGGGTTGGGTGGGGGGTAAGCCAGGGGGTTACTGTAAGAACCGAGTGCCGGACTGAATTTTCATTTCAGTTCGACGTATTGCTTAGCTGCAATCTCTCCCTTCAATTGAGCCATCGTGTCTTCCGTCGTAAGACTGCCTTGAGACTGCCCCTGTATCATAAAAAGCTTCACGACATCCGTGGAAACTTTGACGATCTGGTTGCGCACCATATTGGATCATAGGTTTTTATACGCTGTAGCCTGCTGATATCACTTGATGGACCAAAAGTTGTATTCTGTCGTTGTCAAGCAACTTTCTGCCGAATTCCCAGCTGACCTCAAATTGACCAACTTTTGGACATTGGGGCCCTATTTGAGGAGCGGCTACTTTCATTACTTTGGAGAGTTTCAATTAGCTAAATCTAATTCTCTGGTTCTTGAGGTGGCCTGACTGAAGGGCAATCTTTTGGCAGGCTTGTGTGCTCAATATACAACAATTACTCTGCGTTACCTAAGAGGGTCCATTATGTCCATCTTCCTTAGTCAGCTCTGTAGGCTCTGGGTTTTTTGCGTGGTGCACCCTAATTTCACGTCTAATCTTCTTGCGCACTTAGCTTCGTCACGGCGCACGGCGAGCATAAAGCCGAGTTCGTACGCGTCGGCCAATATGAGGTGAAGATTTGAACCTTCCTCTACTTGCTCTATTGCGAACATTACTTCATTCCTAACTGCCTTAATTGACAAGTTTTATACGCCTCTCTAATCTCATTATATAGTCTCTGGAGTTCTTCAGTGCCAAGATTTGATCGCCTTAACCGGAGTTATGAATTTCCTGTCAGACACACACACACACACCGACACACACACACAAACAAACACACATGCAAACACACCGATACACCAACAGACACACTTAGCGAATTATATATAGTAGGATGTATAGCACTCTACGAAGCAATGAATGGCACGAATGAAATGATGATTGATGTAAAGTTAATAAAACCTGAATAGGAATATGTAAACAGCTAGGTTTCAAACCAGCGTCTCGCCCTTGAAGTCGTTTGCGATGAAACGAGCACCACGCTTCAGTGGTCCCGCCCTGTTGACCCCAAAACACAGAATTTTTGCAATAAGATACTTAGCGAACACTGTCGGGTTAAGATCGAATCAATGGTGTTGCAGTTCTTCAAACGATATTGTTAATCTCAGCGCTGATTCCCATAAAAACAAAGTAGGAAATGGATTGCAAATTTGAGTTTTCTACACAAGCCACATAGATTCTTCGCGGTGTAGATGTTCTATGCAGATGTTTCATTAATATTTGGACAAGGATCAAGTCTTTGCTTCTCTCAGACTACCTGGACATCGAAATACGAAGTTTCCACAGTTGTAAGAAGTCTGTCTTTCTGAAAATCCTTCGACTCTTGTACCCTTTCGAATGTCTACCCTTGACGAGAGAGCGCTCTGACGGAGAGTACGGACAACGAGCGGACACGCCCTCCTCCCGCTGGTGAACACGGCACGCAGAGAGTGCTTCGCCGTCTGATTCTCTCAGCGAGAGAAATTCTGGTTGACAACAGCCCTGTAACCGTTACATACATGGGGAGCCAAGCGGGTCAAGCTTTCACAAAATTCTCTCCGACTCCCTTTCCTGTTGGGGCTCGATTTATTGTTTGCAGTTTATGATTGACAGTTTTACTTAGCTTTTTTATTAATTTTTCAAACATCCACAGCATTTACTGAGAAATGGAAGCAAGGGTCAACTCGTACCTGCTCACACTACTAGATTTTTGCAGAATTCATGGCGACTAAAGCAGTAGCACGTGTGAGGAAAAAAGAAGTCGTGAAGGTCATACATGGTGCTTTACTAAAAACCAATATCAAGTATGTTTGACTCCCTTCGATGTATTAATCGTTATAAATATTTTTGTGGGCACTTGACTAGTATCGTAGCGGTATGATATGATCTCAATAAATGTTGGAAAATTTATAAGGGTATGAAAAGAGTAAAACAGTAGTTCAAGCAACATGTCATGAAGCATTTCAAATGGAGAACAGGACTAAATTCCGATGAAAGTATTACAACATATACAGAACTACCTATAATTATCAGCATTTCTCTAAAAACTCATAGATCAAATTTTTCAAATCTACTCGCAGAGCTCAAATGGCATCCGCTGCTCCACCTCTAGGTCCACAACTTGGTCAAAGGGGACTGAATGTCATGAATTTTTGTAAAGAATTCAACAAGGAGACCGGTCACATTAAACCAGGTCAGCATGTTTATTTTTTTAAGTATTTTTGGTTGGATGAACATTAAAACAAACAACATTTCGTTATACGGTCTGTTCTTTCCAATTTTTTTAACCATTCTCGCCACCATGATAGCTGGTGAATGAAGTTCATAAGTCGAGCCTTACTAAAGCCATCTCAGATTTTTGTTAGCAGCAATTCATCGCTCCCCCGTTGTAATAGTGAGCCCTTTGCTACATTGTTGCCAAGCAGCAAAGGCAGGACCATCTATTCTTAATTTTTTGAAACACTCTCTCTCTCTTATAAGTTGTCTCAACGCTTAGAAGAGTGTGCGGTCTGGTTATCATTCTTCTTAATAAGGGTGAAGCTATCTGCTCAATAGGTATTTAGTCCTCTCCAGTGCTTTATTGATTCTCCAATGGGTAACTTATGAATGTTGTTTCATTGTCTCTTTCTGGATGTGAGATAATTAATAACAAAGATGTCATATAACTCAATATCACAATATTTCTGTGTTCTGATGTTTACAGGAGTTCCCCTCCCTACGCGCATTTCGATAAAACCTGATCGATCATACGATTTGGAGATTTGTACACCGACGACGTCGTGGCTTTTGAAGCAGGCGGCTGGGATTGCTAGAGGAAAACAGAATCCCGGTAATTACAATTGTTACAAATTTATACATACGTTTATTTTTTTCTGATCATCTAATTGGCTATTGTGATACTACCTCCTCGTGTTGTCTTCAGGTGAAGTCGCTGGAAAGATTTCTGTGAAGCATCTTTATGAAATAGCCAAAGTCAAGTCCAGAGACAAGGTTCTACAAGGTGTACCTCTGCAGGTAACGATAAAACATTATAACTGCAAATTTTCATAATTGCAGATTCCTTAAGTCCTCTCACTTAGAAGAAAATTTTTATTTATCACAAGAAAATAAGTCTTATTAGAGAAAGAATACATATCAAGAAGAGTTCTGATTGTTCGATAATAGGGTACTGCTATCAGATTATTTGTATCGTCAAATTTCGAATGGGCGTCAGGTCAATTTTTGATGTTTATGAGTTCCTACTTGGTATACTGCTGACTTCCGGTAACATTATGACCATTCTTCGATTTCACTATTAATAAGAATACTTATTTCTCTATCAAGTTCTCATCTTTGAACTCCGGCTTTGAAATATGAAAATATCGGCTGGGCTATGCCCGCTAACACGTGCCCCATGCCATGCCCACTGCCGCTTATCTACGACTTGCTAGAGGACCGATATGAACAGTATCGAATGATTTCCCATTTCATAAATGTCCCCTCATCGCGCTCACATGACATTCACACACTTCGTTGTGCCTACGTGACTTTCGGAACGACGCACAAACGGGCATACAGACAGACACATACGCTTTACAGATAGAGTTATGTAGTTTGTACTATGTTGCCTTTCCTGATTTCATTAGTTTGTATATTTCAGTTTATATGTCAAAAGATGCTGAAGCAGTGTCGAACGTTAGGTATTGAAGTTCAGCGAGAAGATTTGGATCCTGTGAAGCTGAAGATATTCCTTGACGAACGACGTAGAATTGTTGCGGAACAGTTGAAAGCGTTAGCGGATAAGAAAGCAGCGAAAATGTTGAGAACTACTTAGAAAGGTGAACATTTATGTTGTTGTTTCGTTTATTGAAGTTTCTTATTTTTTCTTACTGAATGAGTTAAAACCGCGTCACTCGCATCAAATTTGACATTTGTTGCTGCATGCTTTTTTTGAGTTTTCTATTTTCTGTATACACTTCACAACCCTTTAAAGAAACGTGTTTTCAGAGACTGCCGCAATAGATTGATTTCGTTTCTGATCGAAGTTGTCAAGATATTTTTAAAGTTGTTTAGCAGTTCATTTTGACTTCGTTAACGTAATTGTGGAGTTTTTTTCCTTGTTGAGTCTTCTACTGAGTTTGATACTCATGTTCCGCTAGTGGGTTAGGAGATATTGTAGTAAGGTACTCACTTTGTGGCGTTTTTTGTGATAAATATAGTTTTACTCTATGCGCAATCTAAGGGAAAGTTCCTAGGATTCTGAGTGCCGATTTTCTGAAGTTACCTTCCGCCTAATGTTTCCCACCATTTTCGTCGTTGAGTACCAAATTGAAAAGTATTCGAAATAACAAAATGCTAATTAAAAATAATCCGATGAGTGTGTTGGATTGAACAGTCAAGTTTCTCACATGACTACAGGAACGGCGACTTATGGAATAGTGTGATATTGTGACTGATTGCGTTTATTGCCTAACTTGCTGTATGGCTTGACAGCTTGTTCAACGGAACGCATTTATTTGGTGGAAGGTTCTACAGTTTGAGTAATTTTCCCGCGCCCGCATAATGCATTTACCATTGGAGCGCTTTAGCCATGTAGTAGCCCATCGCTTTAACCTTGCAATAGGCTTCCACGTTGCCGATTCTACTACTAGCCTACTCCTTTCACCTAAATGTTTCTCCGCTCACCTGTTCTGGTCTGGTCTCCACTTCTTCTGCTTCATCCATTATGTTGGCGCAAATAAATCTGTGACCACTGTTGCTGCGAGGTATAATATTGTCGGTAAGCAGTCATTGTACAGATCCTCCTCACAAGATTTACTCCTGTTGTCGTGAGCGTGCAGAGTGACGACCCTCGCGTAAATTCAAGAGGGAATGAAGACTTTATTTTTTCAGAACTTTGAAATTTATTTCTCTTCTCTCATTCCGACTCATGCCTAATTATGTACAATGTGCATTACTTCTGGTACCATTCACTTCATGCAAATGCAGTTAAGATAAAGTGAGTTTGATTGTGAGAATCTATTGTTTTCCCCTTCAAAAAAAATTCGTGTGCGTGCATCTAAAAATATAAATCTTTCACGGTTCTAGTGAGAACAGGAAAGAGGGTCAAACCCGTGTTGAGATCGTTGGAGAATGCTTTCGGTGATTTTTGAGCTCTTGTCTTCAGTAATTTGATGTGGAATTCCTATTAATTCAAAGTTCGCAGGGACAGACATTCGCTGCTGAATGTCTTTGGTTACAAGTGCAACGCTCTCAAATCACGAGAGTTCTGACAGAGTGCATCCGAAAGCCACTGGCCGCATTCATACTAGGTGCAGTGTACGGCAGTTGAGTGCAGTACACGGCACTCAACTGCCGTATACGGCACCAGTCGTACGAAATCTATCGATCGACAGCTCCCTTTGATGACTCATCCTACGGGATGACTGTTTGAGATAACTGTGCTCCTTTTTCTCTTCGCTC